TTGCTTTATAACTACCCACTTTCTTTATGGTGGCTAACTTGTCGTGGAACTGCCGTCTCTAACTGTTGCCACTACTCTTTGTCATTCAATCGTCTTCAACTGAACTCCTTGAATCGTGGAACGTGATAAGGTTACTCGATAACTGCTTCAATAACTGCACTTCTGGATACCATAACATATTATGTTTACTAAGATTCTGGGCGATTTGAAGGTTTGGGCGAGAACATGGTCATAGCTCTGGGCGACTGTAAGGCACTTCATTCGCTCAGATTTTAGGCATCTTGCAAGTTTGGGCAATGATATTACTGTGTTCGTGAGCTTCCACTATATTCATTAATAACCCTATCTGAGTCTTTATCCTGAATTGCCCAGTTGGATTTCATTCTTTGGGCTATTTGATTTGGAGATTCCTCAATTGGGCTTCATTCCCTATGCTATTCGATTTGGGCTGCACTTTTAGTGTGTCAACAGAACTCAAACTCAAAAAACTCAAAATGTTCACTAGAAGAAATATACTAAAGAAATGTAGCCAAGAAAGGAATACCTAGAGATTGGAGACCCTGCAATAACCCACCATACACACACTGTGAGTTTGTCCACATATATATACAACATATACATACATATAATTTACTGGTAGAATTGATTATNATTTAATTTCTAACTTATTTTAATGTAATAAATGAAAAGTTACTATTTTACCCTTTCAAAAATATTAAAAATATGGTCAAAGTAAAATTTTTTGGTCAACTAACAGACATTTGGATGAAAATCGTCAAAAGGGGCCTCCGTCGCAACATTTCGAAAGGTTTGGGATGACAGTTGCAACAAATTAAAGATTTGAGAAAAGTCTGCTAATGTTTTAAAAATTTGGGGCCTCTGCTTCAATTTTCCCATAGCTAAATTGCATCATTCCAATATTTAATTCGGACGACCACAAAATGAAGATTAAAGATGTTGCTGTTTCAATTGGATATAATTAGAAGTTGAAGGGTTGAATTTGAAAGAAAATGATATTTTAAAAAAAATCAAGAATTAAATTCGAAGACTAAAGTGTAAAATTTGAAAGTTTATATAACTGGGCGACTACCCAGTTATATTGGTTAGGCGACCATTGACACATGAAACCCTAATATCAAAGCTTGAAGGGATGTATGGGCGATTGCCTAGGCTAATCACGACGAAAAAGTTGGTTTTTGTTTAGAATTTCAATTCAAGAAGAAACTTCCTCTTTGGATGATTTTTTTCACAAATTCTAGGGACTTTTTTGGGACTTCTTGGAGAGTACTATAAATACCAACTCTCAAACATAATTAGGGGATGGAGAGTTAATTACAAAAGGAAGCAAGGAACACATCGAGATTCAAGAACATCAATATTGAATTTAAGATTTTTCGGGTGATGAACAACTTTATATCTTTTTTTTCTTCTTTCACAACATGTTAAACTAGATTTGTTTGTGCTATGAGAATGATGAACTTTATAATATGAGTTTTTAATCTTTAATTTTACACATTTGACATCAAAAACACATTTTTGGATTTTGAATGGTTTACCGTTTACTTGATTATCTTTTCTGTACAATTATTGTGCACAGTAGTTGTATGAATTTTGTGGTTTATTTTATGCATTAGAAAAAACGAAAATAAGCTTGACATGATGTAAATTGTCATAGGATCCGATTGGAGATAGAAATATACCACTATACTCTATGTAAATCTTTAAGTGCTCACAAAAATTCTTGTACTCTTATATGTTCGCATCCGTCATCTAAATATAGTTGGGTCATTTATGAGAGTATATTTAACATTACTCGAAAGATATTGTTGAATAAAATAGAAACATTGATTCTTCAATTATTAATCGTGTTGTCAAAGTGTAAATTAAAATTAAAAAGGATTATTACATGAGAATTCAATATCTTAGTGTGTTTGTCATTCATTAGAACACATCAACTTTCATTTAGCATAATTTGTATTTAATTTGGTTAATTCACTCCTAATTGCATAAGTAGCTTATTTTAATTATAATTTAGGCATTGTTTGACCCATATTCTTAAACACTGATTTGATATCATTTCAATCATATATTTTTTAATAAAGTAATAATACATGCATTCAAAACTTTTCCTTATTTTTTAACCACATTCTTCATCTATACACTATTCAAAAATGCATTCTTACGAAAATAATGTGGCTCAAACAAGGGCTTAATCACAAACAAACACATCACTTTATTGTTGTTTTGGTTAAGGTCATGATAATTAAACTAGAACTAAATTAATGTCCGTGGGACAATATCTGGACTCAATTCCACTTTATTAATTGTTAGCAATCTGTATACTTGTGGTGGTTTTTATTTGAAAGAGTGTATGTATGCAAAATCACTTTCAATCATTATCTAAATTAGGAAGAAGTTATCAATATGGAAAAATTTTCAAATTAACTCAAAATCTGACCTTAATAGTCAGATATTTTCTTACCCCTCGTGAGATTCACACACTCAAATGGATATTCATTTTTTTGCCTGAGTGTAAATCTAAAGGTTGCTCTTAAATCAATCATTTCTTTTCCAACTCTTGTTCGGTTCGGCTTGATCGGCAATCTCAATATAATAACATGTAATGATTCTTAACTAATGAGTACTCCCACATTCAAGCTTATACTATGTAATTCAAGTTCTAAGCCCAAATATCATGTACAATTGTACAATAATAATTGTTTTAATTGAATACCATGTTTTACCTCACGCTCTTAACTTTTCTTTTTGAGTCTTGTAGCAAGCTTTAGGTTAATAACTTCCTGGTTGTTTAGACCAAAGGGTAATGGGTTTCTAGATACCCCTACGAACTTAATAACTCGAATAAAAAATGCTACAAAGTGAGAACTAAGATTCAACAAGTATAAAATCATTGTTTTAAGCACAACACAACGCATGGTGAGACACCCCGCCCCGTGTAATATTACTGGACTTGGAAGTGGTATGCGTCGGTGATGAATACCAACTAAAAGTCGGACTCACCATCAAGGCTATTGCAAGTGCAATATATCACTTTTTATACATCATTTTTCTAACAGAATTTCGGCATTATCTTCCCTGTAAACAAGACTAACCAACATGTGATCAATTACACATAAATCCCAAATTATAATACAACACAATAGAGATAAGTCGAAATCTCAATTTTTACCAAGAAATAACATAAAATATACATGTAGATACAAAATACATAATGAGCCCCATAACCATTTACAAGTGATGCAAAATCACATCTAAACAGGAACGTGTGTCTCAAAATACTGACTACGTGCTCTATGAAGTGAGTCATACTAACAAACTCTGTCGTGTGATTTTGACTCTAAAATCAAAGGCTCAACTCCAAAAGATGCTCAGATACTCAACTACTTCATGATAAGAAAAATGTGAGAAAATATATGAGTTTATAGCTCAGTGAGTAGAGAAATTCAAAATAAATATATTTTTTCATTTATACATTTTTATTGTAAATCAAATTCATATCATTTGATAATTGACAAGCTACCATCACGTAATTATAGTCAAAAAGTAAAATATTTACATAAGGTCATAAAATTTCATCTTAAAATCATGATATGAATATCAACTGATAACCATACTATAATCTCATCACATTAAACGTGCTGAAAAATTCAAAAAATTGTACCCTCTAATTGAAATATGTAATCCGCTCGTCGGGCTAAGAACTTTCGCCACGGGCCAATAATCCCCTCCGTGAATGAAAGCCGGTCTCAGAGACCTCTGTTAATCAATTCTAGAACACTATCAAGGCCCCTCTATGAACTATATGTACACGATCAAGACCAATGTCAGGTCAAGAACCCTCCTGTAGGATAGAACACGGCCAAGACCCCTCTGTAAACTAAAAGAAGTATACAATCACGGGTATTTTTCTGCCCGATCTCAATATTACATGTCTCACATACCAAACAAATTTCAATATCACATGTCTTACATACCAAGTCACAAATGTGCCATAAATAATATTTGAGATTCCACATATATCATAATAAAAAAGATTTCTGTAATAATCATAAAATCGAACACATAATTGCACATATTTTACTAATGTACTTAATTTATAAATACTTTAAAAATATTTATATTTTTCCACTCACATAACTATATACGCGAAAATCAACTCGATTGGTAAGCTGTCCCGATATTCGTATCATCGTCTGAAATATGATATAATTTTTAAATCAACAATTAGCTATTTTAAGTAATTTCAATAATTAAATAGGCGATACCTAAACTTAGTTATTTCACGTTTAAATTATTCTAAAGTCTCTTTAATCACTAAAACTATTTTTCTTTCATTTTACTTAATTTCATAGTTTATTATATTTAACATCTTCAATGAAATTGAATTTAATCTAACAATCTAACATTTATAAAATTAAACATAATTTAACAATAAGTAACTTTTTATTTACCTTTTAAAATTGAGGAATTTAAGTCTAATAGTATAGAACACTTAATTCCTAACACGATGGCGAATTTTTTCTATTTTTTTCCCTTTCTTCTTTCTCTTTTTTTTTTTTTCTCTCCTTGCTCTCGTTTTCTTTCCATGTGTTAGTGTGTGTTTTTATGTGATTATGGATTGGGATTATGTATATATATACATATATTCAAATGGGAATGGATGGGTTTTAGGCATAGGGGGATTGATATAAATCAATCCAACCCCTGTCTTTTTCTTTTTAATTTTTATTATTAAGGTATTACACATGGCGCTAAGACTCTTAGCATATGGTCATTACCTATCGTATACCGGGCAAAAGAGACTGCACACAAATTTTTTTTTTCAACATGCTTGGAATCAACACACTTCTAGATAATATCCTTCACCAGTTCGAC